ATTTTAATGCAAGCATTTCATATATCATCAAAGTGCCATGTTCTCAGTGCACCATATCATTTACATGTCTCAATACCCCTAAGTGTCCACATAAGCTCTTGAGCCACTATATACATCTAACATAACATTCATAATGTAATATGCTCAAACATTTGGCTACATTGTCATAACATACTCATAAACCATAAAACATATTCATAGTATGTAAACATAATTAAACATAGACTGACTTGTTAGTGGAACATGATTCGACTCACTAGATATCAAGAGGCTACTAGACACTTACCAATGAGGAATGAAGGGATCACGTCTCTATGACATCGGCTACTAGCAAGAGAGTGTTATCATAAATTTGCAACAAAAATAGTGAAGGGAAAATGAGGTGTGAGTCATAAAGACTTCATGAGTAGATATGGGAAAGGGAACAAGCGAAGAGGAAGAGATTTGCTATAAACCATAATTTGCAAAACAACATGATAATCATATAAATCTTTTCAACAATCATAAATGCATTTAATAACTTTAAATGCATAAATATAATGTCCACATACAAACTCAACTTACAAGCATTTGCAAGGAGATAACAGAAGGTAACTTTCGACCCTTCGAGCTCAACAGCAAACATTCAAATCAAGAATGTGTAATTCATTTAACAATTTGTCTCATTATTTCCATACAAACACAATAATTATCAATTGACAAACACAAGCGTCACAATACCCAATATACAAATAACACATCAATACATACCGTAGCAAATTATGAGGGGAATGGAAACTTTAGCCTAACTCATCCCTATGGTATTATTACCCCTACACTGGGATTCATAAAAAGTGGAAAAGTAGTATGATGCCTAACTTAACTCTGTGGTATTCTTATTCCTACATTGAGACTAAAGCCAATATACAAAAAGGGAAAAGGTGGCTTTTTGGTCAAGCTTAACCCTGTGGTATTTTTGCCTCCACATCGAGACTGGAGCCAACCATAACACAATCATGGGAAGTGGAGACCTTTTTAATCCACTTTACAACACAATCATGCGAATGTGGATACCTTCTCAATCCGCATCATAACACTAATCATGGGAATGTGGAGACCTTCTCAATCCACATCCACAAAACTCATATGCAAGAGCAATTCAATCAACCCCAATCATTATCTCAACTAATATCTTGTACCTACACCAGCCCGAAGGCTAGAATAATAAAGAAAATTGTTCAAAACATTGAAAGAGCTTGTCCCCCCTTATTGAAAATTAATACATAGTAGTATATTTACATATATAATAGATTCATAAACAATTTGAAAATCATTATGTTCACACATATCACAATCATTATCAAATCAAGTCATTTTGAACATTTTCTTGAAAACTTCATAAAACCTTGTAGTTCAAATACCTTAATAAACCATGTATGAAAATAATTTTTCAACATGCTTAAACAACCATTTCCATAAAAAGTATGCTAACTTTACATATTAAAATATTTAAAATGGTGTATCCACTCACCTAATTGGAGAGTCGATTCCTAACTCTAATCACAACTTTGTTTCAATGATATGTATGGAGTTTTCAAGTGTTCCTATCATATAACAATCATTACAATTATTTCCTAGAATAAAAATCTTGTAACGATCATTCTAGGTACTTTCAAAACTACTTGCTTTTAGCTAAACTAATTTTCCAGTTAAAACCCATACTTAGAAACCCATAAATTTTTCATTTTTACTATAGATGAGCTTAGATTCTTAAGAAAATCACAAAGTCTTTGAGTTTTAGTGTTCAACAGAAAATCTGGGCATAAAAATAATATTTTTAGTGTTGGAAAATTCATAAATCAAGATTCAAAAGTTGAAAGATGTCACCTTTATTTGAAAAACCCAAAACCAAGCTTCCAATCTTCCAAAATGATTATTTTGGGTGAAAATAGGTTTGAGAGAGCTTAGAGTTGCTAAAAAACAGATGGAAGGCGGCTTAAGATAGTGGTCATATTTATACTATGGAATGTGAAAATACCTTTTTACCCCCTTTTATTTTTCAAAAATTGACAAAATGTATTACATTTGGCAATGTATCGATACTTTTGGTTTTAAAAATATTGTATTGATACATTATAAACATTTATCAATACATGCTCATAAAAAACCCTTTCTAGGCTAAATGTATCGATATATCATTCACATATATCGATATATTTAAGATAGAATGCAGTTTCTTGGACAGATTGCCTATAAAACTTGCCTAGCTTATTTACATTAAATACCATTTAAGTAAATGCCCTCATTTTTACTTGTTTCTTTTTTTACTCTCCATGTACTTACGATATTTAATGTAAATAAGTAAACATCCCTCCATTTGGTTTCAATAAAAATATAAAAAAAATAAAAATCCATAAGAATGAAAATCTAAATTTTAGTTTCAAGAACAAAATTGAAAAATTCCAATTGAAATTAAATTTGCAGCTCTCATTTACCATAGCAAACATATTTCAAAAATTATGTAAAAATCATTTTTGGTCATCTAAAAATCAAAGGAATCATTATCGCCATTTTTCATTTCTAAAAAATTGTTCTATAAAAATAACATATTTTAACCTATTCCAAACTTAGAAAATTTTCTACTTCAAAAATGACAGACAACCAAAAGTATCAATGAATTCTTTTAGGGGTTAAAACTAAGTTGGATATTTAAAATATGAACTCTGTATGCTCGCCTAAAGATTTCCTAATTTATCTTTTTACTCAAGGAGGGATTTCACATATCCATCGTGAAAGTAACCAAGTTGCGAACTTTCTTACCAACCAAGGTCACTCACATCAAGGTTTTAAGGTATTATTCAATGCGGAAGGTGAGTTGAATGGTATTCTAAGTATGATATAATTAATTTACCTTATGTTAGATTTAAACATATATAAGGGAGAAGTACTCCTTATTTATTTTATTTCTTGTACGCAAGCAATACTATTTAGTTCATGTCTTCATAAAATTTATGCAAAGGAAGTAGTTCTTCTAATAGGGTTACTTTCTTATCTTTGTCATGTAATTCTAGAGGTAAGGTTTATGTTCTTTTCCCTAATATACTTTGCATTTCCATCTTTTAATAAAACTTGAAAAGAATAGTTGGCTTCGAGAGATTCTTCTACCTTAAAAAAAATTTAATATCAAAAAGAAAAAAAAACATAAAAATTTAAAATTTTAAAAAGTAAGAACATAATATTAATGAGGATAAAATATTCAAACACCTCTAAATTTTGACTAAAATTACATGAAGGTCTATTAATTTAAGAATAGACACTCTACATCAAAAGAATGTCTGTTGTTGAATGCATAAGTTCAACCATTACTCAAACGTTAATATTTTCGTTAATTTGTTGACGTGATAATATTTTTTAGATAATTTTACTCTCGAATATGCCAAAAATTATAACACTATATAAATCTTTATGTCTTTTGTTTCTTAAAAGGAAAAAAAAACTACTTACCTTTTTCGGTCAAATTGAATCAAAGAATCAAGCTTCCTTAAGGTTACGTTTGGTTGGTGGAATAGACCGGAATGGAATAAAATAGTTATTATGTGGGAATAGAATATAATAGTTATTACTTTATTTGGTACGACGAATGGAATATGACAGAAATAGTTATTATGACTTATTGCAGTGTTTGGTTAGCAACAATAATTTTGGAATAAGAAAAGAATAAAAAATAAAAAGATAAAAATACCTTTTATTATTTATATAACTATTTATTTTTATTAGATTTTTTATATATTAATAATCTAGAATTTAATTAAAATATTAATAATTAAGCATTTAAATATAACTATTTCATTTATAATTTAATCATTAATATTTTAAAATATTAATATTTTATTTAATTTAAATATTATTATGATCAATTATTTTATTTTATTTTATTTTCAAAATATTAATAATTGATAATTTAAATATTAATATTTTATTTATAATTTAATCATTAATATTTTAAAATATTAATATTTTTTAATTTAAATATTATTATGATTAATTATTTTATTTTATTTTTTAAATATTAATAATTGATAGTTTATTTAAAATATTAATAATTGACCATTTAAATATTAATATTTATTTATAATTTAGTCATTAATATAATAAAATATTAATATTTAATTTAATTTAAATATTATTATGATAAATTATTTTATTTTATTTTATTTTTAAATATTAATAATTGATTATTTATTTAAAATATTAATAATTTAATCATTAATATTTTAAAATATTAATATTTTATTTAATTTAATATTATTATGATTAATTTTTTATTTTATTTTTTAAATTTTATTTTTAAATATTAATAATTGGTAATTTATTTAAAATATTAATAATTGATGATTTAATTATTAATATTTTATATATAATTTAAATGATATTGTGCTTATTTATTTTTAATTTATTTTTTAAATAAGAATAATTTATAAGTTATTTTATTAATAATTTATAATTTAAAATATTAATATTTTATTTATAATTTAAATATTAATATGTTAAAATATTAATATTTTATTAAAAGTTGGAATCAGGAGAGAGGAAGAGGAGAGAGAAAAAAATAATATTTTATATAAATAAAGTTGTAATTTTTTAAACTTGTGAAGGGTATTTTGGTTTTTATGATTTTTTGAGTTTATTTCTCAAACTATGGAATAACTAATATCATAGAGAGAATGGTATTAAACTATTTTTTAATTTTGGAGGATTTTGAAGAATAGTAATAGTTATTTCTTGAACTATTTCTCAACTAAATAAAGAAATCAAAATTTCTTGAGAATAAAGAGGGAATGGCTTAGCCATTTTCCCGACCAAATATGTTATAAGGGAGCGTCGGAGCTCCTTGTAAGGGAGCTGTCGCGCTTCTTTTCAAGGGAGCACTAGAGCTCCCCTTTAAAGGAGCTATTTGGGTGCAATCTAGAGCTCCAAATCTCACCAGATCTAGCGCTCTTCAATATCAAGAAGTGTTAGATCTGATCACAGTGTGGTCGGTCAAACGTAAGAGAGCACTCCGAGCTAGTTAGCTTGTTTGAAAAAACAAACAAATTGTGAGAAAAAGGAAACGATATTTTAGTTGTTTTACTTTTTCTATTAACCGAGTTAAAGGTTTTTGGGCCTGAGTATTTACTTGTTAAATTAATAAACTTCTCTATAATTTTTATTAAAACTTAAGAAGATTGTGTAGGTATTTTAAGATATTAAAAGAAAAAAGTAATAAACAATGAAACAGAGAGAGTATAAGCTGTGTCCCTCTCATGTCTCTGTTTTCATCTTCCCTTTTTCTTTCTATACGAACATGAAAGTCCTACGTCCTCGTTTCATTTCCAATGTCATTGTTTCTCAGGTATCAGAATCTAGCACCTGACTCGTTTCACATCTGGCTTTCGGTGAGTTGGCTCGCCAGAGCTCTTTCTACTCGTTGAATCTCTTTCTACTCGCAAGTTAGAAACATCTCAGTTTGCATCGAAATGGTAATGAAGATACAAAACCCATAACAAAAGAACAATGCCCAACAGCCTCTTTTCTTCAAAGATAATGGAATGGCAAAACGCGGATTGCTCAAAAAAATTGCGGGTGATCTTTCATTGCCTGACTCTTCTTCTTTCTCTAAGCTCTTGGATTCATACATCCAATCCAAGTCTCTCCTTGATGTCCATCGCCTACATGCACGTATCATCAAGTCCCATTTTGCGTCAGAGACTTTTATCCTCAACAGGCTTATCGATGCCTATGGCAAATTGGGCTCCTTGGGCAATGCCCGCAAGGTGTTCGACAGAATGCCCCAAAGAAACATCTATTCTTGGAACGCGGCCATAACTGCCTTGACGAAATTTGGTTTCGTTGATGAGGCAGCAAAGATTTTTGGGTCCATGTCTGAGCATGATCAGTGCTCGTGGAATTCGATTATATCAGGGTTTGCTCAGCAAGACAAATTTGAAGAAGCTCTTTATTATTTTGTTAGGATGCATAGAGAGGATTTTGTAATTAATGAGTACTCATTTGGTAGTGCTCTTAGCGCTTGTTCTGGGTTGAAGGACATGAGAATGGGTACTCAAATCCATGCTTTGATGACGAAGACTCTGTTCTTATCTGATGTTTATATGGGCTCTGCTCTTGTTGATATGTATGGAAAATGTGGAAGTGTCTGCTGTGCCCAGAGAGGTTTCGATGATATGAGTGAAAGGAATAGAGTGTCTTGGAATAGTTTGATCACTTGTTATGAGCAAAATGGTCCCGCTGGAGTAGCTCTTGAGGTTTTCTTGAGGATGATGGATTGTGGAATTGAACCAGATGAAATCACGCTAGCTAGTGTGGTTAGTGCGTGTGCTAGCTTGTCGGCAATCAAGGAAGGCAAACAGGTTCATGCTCGTGTTGCGAAATGCATTAAGTTGAGGGATGATCTTGTCTTGTGCAATGCATTGGTTGATATGTATGCAAAATGCAGTAGAATCAATGAAGCTAGATGTGTTTTTGATAGGATGCCAGTTAGGAATGTTGTGTCTGAAACCTCAATGGTTAGTGGGTATGCAAAAACAGCCAGTGTGAAAACAGCAAGATTAATGTTTATGAAGATGATGGAGAGGAACATAGTGTCTTGGAATGCACTTATTGCTGGCTATACACAAAATGGGGAGGATGAAGAGGCTCTGAGACTCTTTCGCCTCCTAAAGAGAGAATCTGTTTGCCCAACCCATTACACCTTTGGCAATCTATTGAATGCTTGTGCTAATCTTGCTGATTTGCAGCTTGGAAGGCAGGCTCACACACATGTCTTGAAGCATGGTTTTCGCTTTCAGTTTGGAGAGGACTCTGATATTTTTGTTGGTAACTCTCTCATAGACATGTACATGAAGTGTGGATCAGTTGAAGATGGTGACCAGGTTTTCAAAAATATGATGGAAAGGGATTGGGTCTCATGGAATGCCATGATAGTTGGATATGCACAAAACGGATATGGGAATAAGGCTCTTGAATTGTTCAAGAATATGTTGGTATCTGGGGAGAAGCCAGACCATGTCACTATGATTGGTGTTCTTTGTGCTTGTAGTCATGCTGGGTTGGTTGAAGAGGGGCGATATCATTTCTCCTCTATGAGCGGTGAACATGGTTTGGTACCTTTGAAGGACCATTATACATGTATGGTTGATTTACTTGGTCGAGCTGGTTGCCTCAATGAAGCGAAGAATTTGATAGAGACAATGCCAATGAAGCCTGATGCTGTTGTTTGGGGATCTCTGCTTGGTGCTTGTAAAATACATCGTGACATTACTTTAGGGAAGTATGTTGCAGAGAAGCTTTTAGAAATTGATCCTAGCAACTCTGGACCCTACGTTCTTCTTTCAAACATGTATGCTGAGCTTGGAAAATGGGGAAACGTTGTTAGAGTAAGGAAACTGATGAAAAAACGAGGAGTAATCAAGCAACCTGGTTGTAGTTGGATTGAGATACAGGGTCATGTAAGTGTATTCATGGTGAAAGATAAAAGACATCCTCAGGGGAAGGAAATCTATTCAGTTTTGAATGCCCTCATAAAACAGATGAAACGAGCTGGGTATCTGCCAGATGCTGCTGATCAAGAAGCTTACGAAGAGGAGAGTGAATCTAAATTAGACTTTATCTTACAAAAGGAATTTGCCACCTAGTTCTGCGGTTGGGTAATAAGTTTTTTAAGTGATTTTGATCAAAATGATGCTGCTCTTACATAATATTCTGTTTTGTTCAAAATTTTGCATTCATCACATTGTCTTTTCGCATGCCTGTCCTTACAACAGGAACAAGAAGAAGAAAACAAAAATAATTAATATTTTCCCCAAAGACAACCTTCTTGAGTTTGATAGCTAGCCCTGATTGATCCTAATTCAAACTAATTTGTTCTTATTGAGTACTATTTTGTTAGCAATCCATAAACAATTGAAAGCAAAAAGAAAGAAAATAATCCTTGTTCTATCTCAGTACTATATCTTTGAAACAACTTTAACGTTTGTCAAATGGGCAGGTGGAGGTGGATCATAGATGGGCTGAATCATAGTTATTAATTTACTTGTTTATGACCTATTTAAATAGTAGTTGAATGGCCAACCCATCCGTTACCCATTTATGGCAGGCAGGGTTAAATCTCCCTGTATTTATTTTACCTCCTTCTCTTCCTCCTACCACAATAGCCATACTCTTAGTAGATTAATTTAAAAAACACAACTGTTGTCACTCACTATGTTGCTCATTTATAAAAAGTCCATAACTACATGCTTCAGTTGCTTGTTCTTTGATCCTTTACTCAGCAATGTCATCCAAATTTTTTTACTCTGTGGATTCAGGAACACCTCATTTGTGTATTGGCAATTGCAGCTATCTTGTTTAGTAAAGGTAGAAAATTTAGAACTGTGAAACAACAAAGGTAGAGAATCTAGATGACATATAAATACCAATGAGTATTTTCTTAAACACTCTTGGTGGAGTTTTTTATTCTGCAAGCATGTTTTTAGGGTTTGCGCATGTTTATTTAGTAACTATGTTAAATTATTTATTTCATTAATAATAGCTTATGGACATTTTGCAACCTTCTAAATTCATTGTGGAGTTAAAAAAATTCCACCCCAATTTTATAGGATAATTTTCTTATGTATGAACAAAAACTTTTCTTCACTGCAAAAATCAAGGTCAAATTGAATGCCTTTTCTCTTTCCTTACAAGGCAAGCTTGTGGTTACTTTGTTAAAACATACCCTTCCCAATCTATTTACTCGAAACATATATCTTTCTCTCAAGTCTAATTACTATTGGTATGAGTAGATTTACAGCAGTTAACAAATCTAGTAGTCTCTTTTCATTGCTTTTTTCATGTTATCTTTCCCCTGTTCTTGACTTCCTATTATTAACCTTTTTGAAATGTTTGCTTCATGAGATTATTGGTTATGGAAGTAGAATATCTTTTACTTCTGATTTTGTTTCAGTCTGGTGTTCTTATTATTGCTTACTATGCTGCAAAACTTTGATGAAATTTCACTCTGGTATCAAGCCTTAAAAGGAGAAGCCTTCCTAGTTATACTACTGAAATTAGCTTGGGCAGCTCATGTTAATGATTTTTTGGAAGGAGAAAAATGCCAGGTACGTGTTTAATAGAAAAGAAGCAATGCTTTCTGGAATCTTCTGGCTTAGAATGTAGAGTTCTCATTCTTGATAAGCTTCTGCCTTGACAGTAAGCAATCTTGTAATGCTTTGTTTTTTGTTAATTTGGTTTTGGATCTTTTGTATTTCTTCTGCTGCCTTTGCATATAATCTTTGACAAGGATTATTTAAGGCTCCTTTAAGTTGTTTGTGTTATGAATATTTTGTGAATATCCATTTATGTTATCTATATCTAGATTTGATGTAAATCAGATTAGATTAGGATATAATCCATCTAATTTCTAACTGTTATCCTCATTTTGTGAAGGAGTTATTTACCTATAAATAGGCCCCCTTAGTTCATTTGTATACGCACTTCAATAAGATTTCTTCTCTCCCTTAAGTACTTTCTTTCTTCTCTTTAAATATTCTTTCAAGTTATTTTGTTTGTTCTTATAAAGTTATTATTTTTCATAATACGTTATCAGCACGATCCTTTAATCTCTCACCCTCAAGCTTCACAAAGTCGACGATCCTATAATCTCTCACCTTCACCCCCAAGCTTTACAAAGTCGACAATCTTATAATCTCTCACCCTCACCTTCACCCTTAAACTTCACAAAGTCGACGATCTTATAATCTCTCACCCTCAAGTGTCACAAAGTCGAAGTTCAATTTTTCTTCAGGTAATTTTTTTTATTGTCATTTTATTGTTTTGCTCAAATTTTACCAATTTCTAATAAATCAATTTTCATTTAGTGTTTTTCATCAGCCATTAATTATTTTTGTGCCAATTACGATATTGTGTAATACTAACATTTACGTTCTTCTTTTAGCTAAATGTCAAATCTTACAAAGCTTGAATTTGTGGCTCTTGATATTACTGGTAAGAATTATCTATCTTGGATTCTAAATGCTGAAATCTACTTAGATGCTATGGGTCTTGGTGACACAATCAAAGAAGAAAATGAAGCATCTAATCAAGATAAGGCAAAACTAATGATTTTCATTCGCCATCATTTTCGTGAAGGATTAAAAATTGAGTATCTCACAATAAAAGATCTTGTTCATCTTTGAAAAAGTCTAAAGAAAATATATGACCACTAGAAAACAGTAATTTTGCCAAAAGCTTGTTTTGATTGGATGCATCTGTGATTGCAAGATTTTATAACTACAAGTGAGTATAACTCAGCATTATATAAAATCAGTTCTAAACTAAAATTGTGTGAAGAAAAGGTGACAGATGTTGATTTGTTAGAAAAAACATTCTCTACTTTTTATGCTTCAAATGTGCTCTTGCAGCAGCAATATCATGAAAAAGGTTTTAAAAAATACTCTGAATTGATTTCATGTGACTAAAGAAAATAATGAGCTATTGATGAAAAATCATGAATGTAGCCCAACTAGTTCTACTCCATTCCCTGAAGTGAATGCGACATCATTTAGAAATTCTGACCGTGATCGTGGTCGTAATTGTGGTCGTAATCATGGACGTGGAAAAGGTCGCCATAATTACAGCAATTGTAGTGGTTACACAAATTATTATTCTGATAATAAGAATACCCACCAAAAGTAGATGAATAGTGAAGAGATACAAGAAAAGAACAAAGTTGGACAAAGTAAAAAGAATATAGAAAATATTTGTTATCAATATGGCATGAAAGGTCATTGGTCACGTACTTGTCATACACCAAAACAACTTGTTGAACTTTATCAAGCATCACTAAAAGATAAAAAAAAAAACATCGAAACAAATTTTGTTGAAGATGATAGCCAAGTTGATATAACACACTTGGATGTTGTTGATTTTTTTGTCCACCCTGAAAGACGGATTGATCATTTGATTGGTAATGGGAATCCCAATAATGAAATTTCTTAAATTATTTATTGATGTGTTTTAGTATAACTTTTTTAGAAACTTGGTATGTTTAGTATTATCTTATTAAGAAATTAATATATCTATTAGGAAGATATTTTTTTTGTATTTTAATAACAAAGTTTATATTTAATGTTCTCTTATGTAAGTTTCTTACCATATATAATTTTTATTTTCTTGAAGAAAATATGGATATTCATCTGGTTAGACCCAAGATCAATGATAAAGATATATATCTAATAGATAGTGCTACAACGCACACTATATTTAAAGATAAGAAATATTTTTCCCACTTGGCAATGGAAGAAGCTAATGTCAATACAATATTTGTTAATACAAGATTAATTGAAGGCTCCGAAAGAACTAATATTTCACTATTTGGAGGAACAAGGTTTATAATAAAAGATGCATTACTTTCTATTAAGTTTTAAAGAAACTCATTAAGCTTTAAAGATATTTGTTTGAATAGATATCATATTGAGACAATGAATAAAAGAGGTACTGAATACCTTTATATTACATCTATTATATCGGGTAAAAAGCGTGTATTGAAAAAATTACCCGCTTTGTCCTCTAGAATGTACTACACAAAAATTAAAATGATTGAAACTTATGCTATAGTAAACTAGAAGTTTACTGATAATTTTAATGTTTGGCATGACCGATTAGGTTATCTCGGATAAATAATGATGCGAAAAATTATTCAAAATTCATGTGGTCATCCATTGAAAAATCAGAAAATTTTTCAATTTAATGAATTCTCATGTACTACATGCTATCAAGATAAATTAATTATAAGACCATCACCAGTTAAAGTTGTGATTGAATCCCCTGCATTTTTGAAACATATTCAGGGTGATATATGTGGACCCATACATCCACTATGTGGATTATTCAGATATTTTATGATTTTGATTGATACATCAACAAGATGGTCACATGTGTGCTTATTGTCAACTCGCAATTTGGCATTTGCAAGATTACTTGCACAAATAATTCGTTTGCGAGCACATTTTTCTGATTATGCAATCAAGACAGTTCGTCTTGACAATGCTGGTGAATTTACGTCTCAAGCTTTTAATGAATATTACATGTCAATTGAAATAAATGTTGAACAATCTATTAGTCATGTTCATACACAAAACGGTTTAGCAGAATCATTTATCAAACGCCTTAGATTGATTGTAAGGTCATTACTTATGAAATCCAATTTCTACTTGGGGACAGGCTATTTTGCATACAGTAGCACTTGTACGCATCAGGCCAATGAGTTATCATAAATTCTCTCTTGTACAATTGGTTTATGGTCAGAACCAAATATTTTCCATCTAAGAATTTTTAGATATGCGGTATATGTTCCAATTGCTCCACCACGACGC